TGCATTCTGTTTGAACCACCTTCGCGGTTAGTTTGAGATGAATATTGCTTATACATGGAACCTGGTTGGCGGAAAGTGTACCCAGGCTTCAAAGTATCTCAACTTTTTGTAAACCTCGTGTGCATGATGCTTTTTAGGTTTTGTTACAACGACAAGTCCAAATATGGACAGTATGGGTTGGTCCGGGACTGACCGAGGCTATTACTGTTATGCGTCCTCTGTGACTGTGAGGGTCAGATTCAAATGTAGATTAAACAGTGCCACTTACCAGATTGATGTCCGGCTTGTTGCTGGAAAAAAGCGACCATCTACTCTAATATCGCCGGTTGCTAATCGGCAAAGGGTAGATATTTTTCGGACAATGTAGATTTACCTACATGTCGCCATCACGACCTTTCAGATCTGCGACACATTATAGAAGCAACATGACGTGACCTAAGCCGAAACTAGAGATTGAATGCATCGACAACAAACATACCCAAGGGGCATGTCAGCCTGAAAGGATCAGTTGTGGGACTACCACAAACCTAGAGCCGAAACAGAAATTTGAATTCAGAAGTTTTATTATCTACCCTTCGAGACTCCATGTTGAGAACCAAAAGCATTCCGCCCCTTTTGGCTTTTCCTCGAAACCGTTATCTAGTCATCAATCGGAAAAATCTGGTACCAAATGCTCGATCAACTCCGTTTATTTCGCTAGCCACCTTGCCTATATCCCTACGCAACCGACCCGAGAACAAGAGCTGCCACGCCTTCCTCTTCACTACGGACAACTATCTTACTTGTGACGCCCGATTTGGTAGAGTAGGCCATCCGAATGTTCGCAACGACTCTACCTCCCGTCACTGTCTTACCGAAGAGTTTGAGGGTGTGGGTTGTGGTGTTGATGGGTACATCAGTACCCTCAAGAGGTTGTAGTGAAAGGGTCTTGGCGAGTTGTTCCGTTGCATCTTGTACCATTAGCACTTTACTTTGGGACCCTGCAGAATAACACTCACCTGCAATGCTCTTGACGCCTTCCAGCTGGAGAGTCTCCTCGGCCTCCTCACCAGCAGCACCTACTTGCTCCCAGATGTGATTGAAATTACCGGCAAAGGCTGGAACCACGTAATCACTTCCAGTGAGCTCAAGATCTTCGACTTGGTACTCATCATCGTAACCACTCTCCTCTGGTTCACCAGTTGTTGGGTCGATCTCTTTCGTAGTGAACTTCAACACATTCGTGAAGCTGCTAGCTGAGAAAGCACCCTCACCACCAACCTTCTTGAAGGAAACGTAGATTGGGCCTGGCTCATCAGTGATGAGCTTGGCTGCTGGTATGATGAAATCCTCCTCCAGTTCCTCTTCTTCAGCTGGTGTGGCTAGGACCGAGACGTTCTCAAGGACGGTATCTGGTAGTGTGTTCTTAACATCGTACTGGAGTACGATGTGCTCCTTGAAAATGTGCTTGACGACGCTAACGACGTACTCGGTTTCCGATTCCGTCAATTCAACAACAGGCGATGACTTCAAGAGGCTGCCATAGGATTTCATTTCTGGGATCTGAAGAAGCGCCTGTTGGTATTTCTGGGCTGTTGCAGAAGCGGTGGCTGCCGCTTCCGTTCCTGTTGGTGTGGATTTGGTTGGACCAGCCTTTGGTGCTTTGATGGTTGGGGTGATGGTGGTAAGCTTCTTCGTCCTGTCCTCAGCATCTGCTTGCTCCTTCGTAACGACTGGGATAGCGGCAATGTCGAATGGATTATCGAAAGTTGACTTGTCATCTGCGGTAACATACATGACAAGTTGGTGCTCGAAGTATGGGAGAGCAAAAGTGTTTTCTGCCAAGGTTAGCGATGTCCATAAATCCAAATGCAGTTACATTACCATTCTTGATGAAACGATCAGCCATCTCATCAGGCTCGGTCATAAGTCGCAAATTCAAAGCAGCACGGTCACGAACTTCGTCGTCAACATCGTCCAAACATCTCGTCAGGAGAACAGTGACACTTCGCTTGACCTCGGGATCCTGCTGTCCGACGCCAAACTTCGCTAAGGCTGTAACTGCAGCAGCTCGCACGATTGCATTCTCCAGCACAACTCGATTGTAGATGTATCGGATGTACTTGGTTGGCTGAGAGGTCTTGGGCCCCTCCAATCCAAGCAAATGTAGGATTCGAACAGCCAATTTCGTGAACTCACAATCTTCGATGAACTCGCAAAGATGTGCCAGGGCATCCTCTTTTGAATCCGGAACAAATTTGATCAAATCGAACATACTCTCCACAACAGCCCGCTTGAATTCGTATCCACCCTCGTCCCTGAGTATGCCACTAAGGAACGCAAGCATACCAGCTTGCTTGTTGGGGAACTTCAAACACAGTGTCCGGATAGCCTCAACGATTGTGATCTTGAACTCGTCCGTGATATCAGCCATGAAACCAGAAATTTGCTTCATCAAACGGTCCACACTGGCCTCGTTGCCAGTCTTCAGGAGAGTCGTGATAGCGAATGTGGCGATTGAGCGATTAGTGTTGGAGATAAGAAGTTCGATATCTGGGTTGCATGGGTGAACGGCTTGAGGTTTGAAGGATGCGAAATTGTGGAGGATTCTGATAGCCGCGAACTTAGTGACTGCTCGTGGTGAAGTGAGGAAAAGCTGGAGAACGTGGATCGCCTGGGTAACTTCCGCATCTGTGACATCTCGCATATCGCAGATTGCCTTCGCCGCCTCGAAATTGACCATCTCGCTCTTGTGTCGCAGCCAGCCGTCCAAGAGCTGGATCATGGGTTTGCGTAGTTGTGGATCCTCCTCTGCCAATTGCGCAGCTAACCTTACCAGCATGACAGTTGCTGCTGGGCTCTTTACTGCGCCTGCGGTTCCGAATTGCTGGACCATTTTGACCAAGGCCATTCTGTCGTGCATTCGCATCTGGTACAAAAGTCCAATGGCGTGGTATTGTGTCATGGTAGAGTTGTTGACAGGCATTTGACTCGACGAGGTAGAGAATCCTAGGGAGAATCCACCAGATGACTTTGTAGAAGACGCAGCTTCTTGTGTTTCGCTCTGCCATCTTCTGACAACATCGCGGGCTATTGGGAGGAGGTGATATGACGAAATAAGGGCGGCAGATGATACCGAAGGATTCTTGTCGACGATCGCAGTCTTCATAACACGCTCGATACTTTGTACGGTCGAAGCCTGTCGCTGTCAATGCTGATTCTCCTGACCCAAATTCCTCAACTCACATCAATGATCCTGCAGAGCGCCCGAATGGCGTTTGGTCTATAAATCGCATCCGTTCCGCCACCAGTATCCTTCATAATAGTGCTTGTGACCATGATGATATCCTCCGCCGAATGCGCCAACTCCTTAATGATAAGGTGGACCATCTGCCGTAAGCTGGCATCTTTATTCTGAAACAGCTTGGAGATTCCGAAAAAGAGAGTGGTGGCTTCATTGGTAGGGAATCTCTCGCCGGTGTACAGAAGGAGGGCGATTTTGGTGAGAAGGACTCGACATTTCCGAGGTTGAATGGGGGACGAATTGAACAATCGTGCTGTCTGGCATTAGGGGAGCTCTGTATGGAGGGGGAACGTTCACCGACCTTCTTGAAATACCGAGGTTCTGTCTACCCTCATGATAGCCGTATCGGCATCTTCGTCTTTCTTGCTGTAACTCATGGTGAGAGGGGCTAGCTCCTCAGCTTCATGAATTGCAGGGGGATGCGTAGATTTGGGGTCCTGGATGTGATCTTGAAGTCGCGACGTAGCCAAATCCGCAGGTGGGACTAGTTTGGCTAGGCGAGCGGAGTGGAGCGGAAAAACGATAATGCTGAGGTTCCAGCAAAGGAGCAACAGGAGTAATTTCTTAGTAAAGCATGAACATAAATCAATTATATGGTTTCTAGAATTCACTTTCAACAAATTCCGGTTTCTCAACAATTCGAGGCAAACATATTGGAGTTCAGAAGTGTCCGGCTCGAGTTGTGTCTCGAGATTCCTGGCAATTCACCAGTTTCAATGCAAGATGGGCCACAATGTGAAAGTCGTTGCATTGTAGTAATTGCATATCATCAAAAAGCTGCTCTTCATAACACCGTACTCCCTATGTCAAACCAGGATATCTTATAGTAGCAGTTTTTAAATCCTCATGACTTGTACGAAGGTAGTGGCACTCTTAGCTGTCGGGTGAGACTCTGTCAGTGGTTCCGTTCTGCTGAGTCTACTGGCTCCAGTCTCAACCAGTTTAGAGGACGCATGCGAATAATGTTTAGAAATCATTCCATACAATTGTGTCTAACAGATTCGTGACAGCGAGCGATTTCCAGTAGTAGGCTCAATTGTTTGGGGGTAGCCAAGCGCTCGGCTAGCTCCCTGACTTGTTGTCCTTGACACTTTACATAGCCCGCTTTCATTCTACCCTGTAGAACAAAGTGCCTGGTATGATTTCAAGATATTTCTTAGTTCGATTCCGGGTAATGATACATGCTCGGTTAGCAAAAAAGCCTGAGGAAAGTGCTGGGAAAGGAGCTGAGTTTAGGCCACTTTCTCTCACCTGAGGCTGTAGTGCCACTTTCCATTCCTGTGCCTGTCAAGTCTATGTGCTGAGAGCTCCTTCGCCAAACAGGGAAAGTTCATTCCGCATGACCAATACTTTTATTACGTAGCATTGAGCGTCCGAGGGCCTGGAATGGCCCTTGTCCAGTGCAATGCAATTAGGCCTTGGGCCTTGCACGTTACAGAGAAAAGGTACTTCACATCTCGTTGTGGCTGAAGAAACGTGTTACATGTCAAAGTCTCAAAGGACTTGTGCTATGGTCAAAGGCATTGTAAAAAAATGAACAGAACAAAGACGTCCCAAACAATGAAACATCCTCAAGCCACACCCATACCTACCCCCCTATTTTCAGCGTACTGTCAGCCTGGAAATAAGCGAAAACTTCGGCATGCTCACACCACGCTTTCGCTTACAAAAATCAAACTTTCTCCACGAACACTCCTCCAAAATTGTAAAAAAATTATTCCGATACCGGGAATCGAACCCGGGGCTGCCCGGCTCTTTGTTCTACAGTGTAGAATGAAAGCGGGCTATGTTAACCCCTACACTATATCGGATGTTTGAGTTTAGCATATCAAATGATTTGATGGCGAAAATCTTCTTATTCAATATTATGTAGATATTACAGTTTTTGCTCCAAGAGCCGATGATTTCCCTAGCTTGCAAACCCTGCCAGCAGCTGCAAGAAGACAAACTAGTGTGGTGTGGTGCGTGTTCATTGGTGTGGGTGTGTGGATTCCTTGGCTGATGGGAATGCTGCAATTGTGGGGAAGACTTGATGGAGGGGAGCATTTCACTTCTTCAGTTCTCCCTCGCCAACACTTCCTGTGTCTGGTTATGCCTTCTGTCATACGCCAAGTAGCCAAATTACTTCTAGTGGTCGCCATTTGTTGTGTTGTGTTGGTATGGAAGCAAGTTATGGCTCCAGATCCAGCCTCGGCTATGTAATCCTCATCCCGGTACAATCACCGGCTTTGCAAATATCCACCCGGCATGCCTTCAACAATTGTTTGAGCAATAGCGATTTGACGATGCTGGCTCCTTATACGGTGCGCGGTGTGTACTAGGCTTTTTCTCAATGTCATGTTATTATTGCAGAACATCCACAAGTCGTTCTCACAATTATTTCTTTGGGCCGTGCCCAGGGCCTTGCCAGGCTTTGAAGAACTTGAGTTCTTCGCCGAAGAATCCTCACCGAAATTCTCAGTCCATCTGCATCCGCAAATATTGGATATGCGGGTAAAAGCCCCGTTTGATGGGATTGTCAATCATGTTTTCTTTTTCTCCGATCATGCCGTCTTTAATCTTACAATTTTATTTTGCTTAGCTCCAGTGCTGGTGTCCACGACGGGGTATGTACAGTCTTTCAGGCGGGGTATCGTGGCTTGAAAGCTGGAAAGAAATTTCTGACCTTAGCATGGCTTCGTATGATTTGGACTTTCCTTTCTGAATCATTGCTTCTTGTCTGTTCCCATTTTTTCTTCTTCACTACGCCATGCCATCTTGCAATGCCAAGAGCCAGGTTATTGCTTCAGTCGAAGCTGGTGCCGACTCCATAGGGTTGGCCATGCTACCCTAATTTGACCATGAAGTAATGCAGGCTGGGTAATAATACAAGGCGTCGGCGATGTCACTCGGCCAGACAGTGGTGATATGTAGGATGGCACAGGCTCATTGGCGATGGCAACGGCCCTGCCACTGACGATGCCACTCCGCCATTCAATCCATATATGTCAGGATCCGTTTATCTTTGTAACATTGGGATTCTTAAGAATGAACTCAGCTTGATCTTTTCTTGTTATTCAAATCTGATTCAATCTAATCCTTATCATAGTACGATCTTAATAGAAGGTGATCTAGTACACATGAATTCGGGATGTATTTCAGAAACATCTACTATCTATAATAAGAATTAAGAATGATTTCTCTTAGATAAGTATACATCCTCGAGAAACCTTGTCGATTTTATAAAATTTTAGGAGGAAATGATAACAGGCGTTTTGTTATTAGGGGAGTTTCAGATTATGCGTGTTTGTTTGATATAAGCATAGAAGAAGGCATTGTACCTCTTTACATTTACGTTACAACTTAATATGCTTTACTAAGAGGCTATAGGTTCGAATTGCTGGAAAGGCATTTGAGACGTTGCAGTACAACGTTCTAGAAAAATCTGATTTTGCAAACAAGTGAATAATTTTCTCGATTATGACGTTGATTTTTCCTGAATATTCTCTTATCCTTGAAACACAACTCCCAAGGCATGTAAAGGAGACTCATATTCCCGTAAAGAGCAATCGGTTAGACATTAAATATGTCTTTTTACAACGTTGAGTCTTTGGTAAGGTGGACGTTTAGGAATCTCTTGTGGTGCGGTAGGGCTGAACAGCAACATTCATCACTGAATGCACCCGAAAACCCGAGAGGGAAGAACTGCAGTCGAGTTATTAGAAATTGGTGTCTCAAATTCTTTCATAACCAAAAACTACGTAATGAAAGTGACCACTATCACTTCGGACAACTAAAACTCCGCGATTTATTTCAGCTCTCCTGTGGATGACGGTAGCTCTCTTTCGTCAAAATACGCTCCCTAGTCGATTTTAACCCCTCTAACAGAACGCCTGGCTTCGGCGAAGCATGCTTGCGTGGTCTCGTTGAAGCGCTTCTCTCTGTCTTTGTTCTTTGCCGTCATTCGTGTATGGGACTGAGCTGGAGCATTTACCACAGGTCTCAACTTTTCGAAGTCTACCCTCAACTCCATGAGAACAGGCATACCTCCTACCCATCTAAGAAGCTCTGATACTGTGGCAAATGTCCCTATTTGGATCCAAAGCATGATCAAGAAAGCAAGAACACAGTCTGTCTACATGTCCCATCATCGACCATCTTGCAGCTGCTGAGACCAAATGTTTCTGAAAGACTTCATCCCGTTCATCTCTTGCTCATCCAAAACACGTATGGTCCGTCTCAGCTTGAAGACTTGGCTCCTCACTGAACGGACAGCATATTGGCATTCTTGGTACTCTATGATAGATAATGTATACCTTTCTAGTCCACATGCTTCAGGTGGCGGTCAACTAGCTGTTCTTCTTTGATGGCCTTTATTACTCATTGGTATCGGGGCACCAATTTCCCTGTTGTAGGGGTCGCGGAGTCGTGAGGCGACAGAAGAAAAATGCACTGAATATTGAGAACACTTTTCAGTTTTAAGTACTCAATTCTCCTGGCACCCCTTTCGTCACCGAAGAAAATTGTGGAATTGTGCCCATGAACCTTTACAGTGCCATTCATCTATCTACCTCTCAGAGAACACGGCGCCTCCAGAACGAAGGAGTCCACGTCACCGGCCACCGATACCCTGTTTCCCTCCCCCGGAGGTCAAACACCAGTTCCCTCTCTTCCATTCTCTTTCTATCCGTTCTATAACTTCCAGAAGCAACCCTCCCCTGCCGCAAACCAATCGGCAGCCCTCCCATACCAACAGGCTTCATCGTAATCCCCCTACAGGCTATGCTCCAACATCCTTCGCCTGTCCGGGTACCTGAAAAGCCCAAAAATTGCATCCGCACTTCCCATATTAGATGTTCGATCCAGATAGAGCACCCGAGTCCTTTCCGTCTGTACCCTGTAGTCTCATTGTTTCAAAACATTAGGTTTACCGACGTCCCGGATATATATGCTTATATAACTTGATTGCTATTGGTGTGCCTTTTATGCAGATGTTTCGCTTCCCTGCAGACGGGGTTTGAAACTTACTACGCCAGCTGGATTTCGTGATTCATTAAGGTATGGTATGAACTATTCTAAAAGTAAAAAGGGGTTGAAAAGTGCACTTCTGCACTTTGAGCATCCAGGTCTGCGATGAAATACTAGCTGAGAACCTAAGGGAAGAGGTGTTTCGTACCAGCCAATGAGGAAAATGATGCGATGCGACCCGCACCAATAAATTCAAGATGAAAGAGGTACGGGTGGAAAGGTATATTTAGGGGTATTTGGAATTGGTGCCAGTACGACACTGGAAAAGAAAATGATACAGCGGCACAAATATAGGTGTGTTTTGCCCTCGATATAGGTTTTGCAAGGAGACGGACGAGTAGGAGGTTTTGTGGTTGTTGGGCTTACGCGCCTCGGCGTCTACGCCGCTAAATATACTTTGCAGTGCAGTTTGGTACACCTACTTGAGTAGCTCAGCTCATCTCATCCCACCACGCCGCAACGCAAAGAAATGCAAAGAAAAGCAAATAGATCGGCGTCATGGATATTCGCCAATGTAAATCAGCGAGCAAGGATTTGGGGGTCTTAGCAATGGTTCGTTGAGGATCATTGGAAGAAAGCATGAAAGAGAATTGTTCTGGAAAGAATCCTGCCGTGTTCTAGACAGGGCGGGGAATTCTCGCTCGAGAATAGCCTGAATGTGTTCAGTATGCCGGGAGGCTCTATGGCCGTCGGATGCTCGAAGCTTGGTCCCCAATAGTTCCCCGGAATAGGTGAGCTTGAAAATGGGTTGGTATTTTGGTAAGGCCAGGAAGATAAAATACGGAACCCGTTGGATTGAACGAACGGTATGCCGAATCTTACCTCACCTGAGGGACAGGGAATAGACATCCACCAGAGAGGAAGATTACGGGCCCCACGACGTGGGAGAATGGCGTGGCTGCATATTCCGAATGCTGTCGTTCTCCGCAAATAGTAGTACATAGCAGATGAATTAAGCTACTATTGTTCAGCTATCATTGCTGTATTATACGATTACTTTTTGTTATTAAAAGAAGGAAGGGAAGGAGAAAGCAGTAGATCGGTCTTACAGCAAAATCCGGCCGGCGGAAGACGCAGGACCACTTGCAAATACTCAAGGCGGCACAGCTGTGCTTGGCAGGTCTCAGACCGTGTTGTGTGCTGTCAGTAGTGAAGCCCGCCTGCAGTCAGAAGTCAAAATTATTGACCACTAGAAGACGGAGTGACAAGTGACATGGTATGCGGGAGAACACGAGATGGCGCTGGTTGCGGGTCGGCACACAGATGGGGAAGTAGGAGAAAAAAAAGACTGGAGTGAAGAACTACATTGGTCAAACAGGCCTCGTGGTGGCAGAATGGAACGCGGCAGGTGCTGTAAGCAGGATTAAGCTTGGTTTGGCTGAAGGCAAAGGCGAGGCAATGGTGAGAATGAGGATCCATGGCAAATATACACTAGGTGCTGGGTACTGGGTACTTGGGTTGACAGTAATGCTGGCTTGGTGGCTAATAGGAAAAGGACGAAAGGAAGTCAATATACCGCATAAAAAGTGGACAACTGTTATATACAATGAAAGATAATCTGTAATCTGTATGAAAGGGAATGAAGGACCAAGAACAATAGAAACCTCATGGCCCGGTTGAAGCTGGTAGAAGGCTGGCAGGGCTGAGAATAAATGCGCGGAAAGCGAGACATCCTGATGCAGTCCAGACCGCACCAGACCAAAGCCAGCCACAACAGCACTGTACGTACCACACTACACCACTGCAGGTGCGGTCGGGAAGGAGAAGAAGCATAAATTCGTAGCGGTCAGGTATGATAAGGCTG